GTGACACAATTATTTGGGAGGCAGCTTGGTGAAATGAGGCGCTCGTCAAAATAATCATCATTATCATTATTGCCTTTCTCACCCTGGATCAGGATATAGGCCACGAACAAACACTTTCCACCTTTCCCTATTCTGGGCTAGTCGCTTGATGTCACTCCACGTCTTCCCACTTTTCTGTACATCCATTTCCGTGACTCTTCTCAAGGTTCCACGTGGTCTGCCCCTCGATCTTTTACCCTGTGGGCTCCAATCTAACACTTTCCGTCAAAATAATGAAATTGAAGAAAATGGCACATTTCTACCAGTTTGACAATTTAAATTTGTCTTTTTTTTTCTCAACACCATTGTTGTCCAACTAAGAACACATTTCAGGGTGAATTTTACGGAAAAACGTTTGATTAAAGGCACAAAAAAGTAAGTTTTCAGTTTCTACGGACTATCATGTTATAGAAATAACCAAACTTTGGCGGCCATTTTCTCGCTAATTCTACTTTTGAAAAAAGGCGATCCCACCTTCTTCAATCTCAAACATCTTATCTTCTCTTCAAGATAGATGGGTATTTTTTTTCACTCATTGCAAGACAACTAACTAAACAGGCTTTGAGATGATACAAATAACTTCACATACCCAAAAATTGACGAGCGCCTGATTCCACCATGTCGTGACACATGTGTTTGAGTGCGGCGACAGTAGCTGGCCAATGGCAAAGCTGCGGTACGAATTGAATTACCAAACTACACTGTTTTGAGTTACTAAGACCATGAGGTCAGAAACCAAATAAATGTTCTATCTGCTCTATCATATTATTTGGAGTCGTTATCAAGATATTTAAAGAATTGATTATGAACATGGTTGACATGGGGCTACCTCAGAATTACAAATTTCTTTGAGTTACCAAGACAATGATGTCAGAAACCAAATACATGTTCTATCTGCTCTATCAAAATCGTAAGATTAATTGGAGTCGTTATCAAGATATTATTTAAAGAATTAATTATGAAAAAGTTTAACATGTGGCTACCTCAGAATTACAAAGTTCTATCTGACATTTTTGGCCATTTTGAGTTACTAAGACAAGGAGGTCAGAAACCAAATAAAGGTTCTGTCTACTCTATCAAAATCGTAAGATTATTTAGAGTAGCTATCGAGATATTCAAAGAACTGCATTTGAAAAAGCTTGACATGCTGTGATACTCAAATTTGTTCACGTCAAATTTATCAAACCTAGGTACTGAGCAGAAAGAATTCAACAATTCTGGAGAGGTGTTTGTCCGAAGCCAAACTTATCATCAAAGTTTTTAGCCTCACAAACCTCCCTATAAGTCAGCTCCGTTCTAACTCTTTTTTTTTTTACAAAATGATCGACATTGTGTTGAATTCAAGCACTCGTCAAAATAATGAAATAGAAAAAAACCCAGCATAATTTGTTTTGTCTGTTTGGCAATTTCATCGATTAAAAAAAAATGTTTACTCAACACCTAGATCTATAAGATACTTAAAAAACACATTTCCTTGGGGATTTTACTGAAAATGTCTATTTAAGGCACAGACATTTTTCTAAGGAAGCTCAAGCTTTGGAAATAGCCAAACTCTGGTGGCCATTTTCTCGCTAATTTTACCCCAGAAACCAGGTGACCCCTACATCTTTTAATCACAAATATCTCGATCTATATTCATGATTGAAGAGTATTTTTTTCACTGAAAGCAAGACAAATGAACTAGCTTCATGATGACACCAATAACTCTCCATGTCCAACAACAATTGACGAGCGCCTGTTTCCACCGCCTCGTGACACAATTGTGAGGCAGCGTGGTGGAATCAGGCTCTCGTCAATTTTTGGCCATGTCGAGTTATTGGTATCATCTTAAAGCTTGTTCAGTTGTCTTTATTCATATGAAAAAAAGATCCATTTATCTGAATACAAGTCGAGATATTTGTCAATGAAGGAGGTGGGGGTCGCCTATTTTCAGAGGCAAAATTAGTGAGAAAATGGCCGCCAAAGATTAGTTATTTTTTTAGCTTAAAGTCCTTGGTAACTGAAAATTTACATTTTATGTCCCTTTAATCTACGTTTTTCAGAAAAATTCAAACACAGAAATGAGTTCTTTATTGGGCATGAAAGGTGTTGATCCAAAAAACAAAAATTTTGATAAAAATTCACAACCAGCGGAAAAATGCAGGTTTCTTCATTTTGATTATTTTGAAGAGAGCCTGTTTCCACCGCCTTGTGACACAAATGTTGACCCCAGTCTGAGGAGAAATATGATGAGCGCAGTAATCTGCTTTATGCCATTCCCAAAGGGGGAACATTAACCTGTTCTAAAGCACAGTAGAATTGTAAACGGGCTGATTCATCAATGTCATGCTCATAACCGTGCCTGAACTGCAACAGGAAACTACTGCTTTTTCTTTCCTAATCCTTAGTATCGTCATTTTTCCAGTTACTTCTTTTGTATGTTTGTCACACTCTTGTGACCCGCTATTTCCGGGGTGCCTTG